TAAGGGGGGAGGGGACTGGGTCCTGCTGGGTTGCCGCTTGGCTGGCGCTTTCGCGTGCGACCTATCCGCGCCCTGCACCGCCCTCCGACCTTTCACTCACCGAAACCCCCCGACCTTTCACTCGCCGCGGGCTGCCGCACGAGCCGGGTTTGGGCCTTTGCGAGAGGAAGAGAGAGAGAGACTGTCGGTGAGAGTGTGCGGGTCAGGACAGTTGTTGGCCGGCGCTGGCTGTAAGCAGCCAGCTTTAGAAGAGCTCCGATTACAACACAACGCATCCTGTAGCGAGCAGCGGCGGCTGGGCGTATAAAGGACGTTTGTTGACGCGAGCCGAGCGGAGCCGGGCCGGCGAGCCGCGGGCCCGGCGCTATTAAACGCAGGCGCATTAATTACTCGCGCGAAAATCCGAGCGCAGACACTGAGAGGCTAAGGCTGGGCCGTAACAATGCCTCCGCCTGAGGGGCGGGCGGAGGAGGAGGCGGGCGAAAAGCAGCAGAGGAGAGGGGCGTCGAGGCTTTTCGCTGCGCTAGCATCCTGACGGCCTTAATCAATGTAGGCTGTCGGAGATGCCGTCGCCGCTGCTCCGCCACCACCACGCTACTTCCACATGTTCACGGCGGCGCAGAACGGAGCAGGGCGGAGCAGGGGGAACGGGCCTCCTCCGCGACCTCGAGTGCTCGTCAGCGCGACTCCCCGTCTCCTCTAACTCGTTTAGCTCCACCACCGGCGGCACGCAGGGTTACAACGGCGGGGTGCTTTGCGGGCAGGCTGGGGCCCCCGGCCTGGTCTGAGGTAGGAAGAAAGTCGGGAGGCAACGGAGCGCGTGCGCACGGGAGCGAGAGCAGGAGGACGAGAAGGAGGCTATCAGCCAGAATGCGACAGTTCAAAACCACTTGCACGTTAAAAACACCCCCAAAAAAGTTTCCCCATCTGTTTTCGGGCAGCCCGATCTTTTCTCGTTCGAGCCGCCCATCAGCCCAGCCGTATGGATCATTGGCAGCGGGGTCGCTCATTGCAGCGGGGTGGAGCTTGGTGTGGCGGGGTGAGGCGGGCTGCCATCCCACCATGCGGCTAACGCCTAAAGTTTAATGCGCCACATTCTTTCTCCGCGAGGCACTCGAAGCGGCTCCCCAGCGGCCTTATACAGCACACCGAACTCCACCACCTCCTCCACGACGGCTTCCGCGGTCTCCTCAACACCTCACCGCACCCCTCACCCCCGACCCGACCAGGCCGCACCAAGAAGTGCCGCTCCAAATCAGGGCGGGGCACCTTAAGAGCTGCAATTTGTTACGTCCCCTGCCCGGGAGCCCCGCGGGGGGTCAGGGGTGGAGGGGAGAGGGGAGCTGCTGCTGGGCGTGGATGGAGCGTGTCACGGGGGCCGTAGCCGGCTCCAATGCGCGCACCTCGCCCTGGGTCCTCTTCGAGCCGCTCACCTTTCAACTTATTATCAGCAAGGCCATTGCACGTAGGGGGCGTGGCGCGGCGGGACTGGGGTAAGGATGTGGGATTGTGGCTTGAAAATTTCCCATGGGTAAAACTAACGGTAGAGCTCGGGAAAAGGGGGGGGGGGGTGCTCACGCATTCACGCATCCTCTAGTCATCATCATCGTCGAAGTCGTCGGCACGCGTCGTGCATGTCGACACGACGGCCACTTTGCGCTTCGGCATACCGCACCGCAACTCATTCGACTTGGGGCCTCACCCTACCCTCACCCCGCCCCTTGTTCATGCCCCGGGGCCTCACCACCGCCGGTAATGTTCTGGTGCTACAACAGCGTATTGTCTGCTCGACAGGACAGAGCGTGGCTTCCGATACAAGATCTCATTCTCTCTTCCTCGTACCGCACTGTGTAGACCGGGGCCCGCCGCGGCAGCATCCCATCAGTCAGCAGACGGAAGGGTTGAAAATGGCGGGGAAACACCGTCAATTAGGGAGACAAAACGACAGTGACAGTCAACCCATTGTCATAGTGTAATTAATTTTCGTTAGCAGCTAAACGAAGAGTCTTACTTGCAAACCTGCTCGACTCGCCGTTGTTCCTGTCTCTCAAATTATACCTCTCACTTCCCCAGATATGCAAAACAATGTCTGAGAAGCCACAAAGGCCCTTGGGGAGGAGAGGTCTGAATGTGGACCAGTGGGAGCGGGATAGTCGAGAAGCGTTACAGAAACAGCAGGGGGCTGAGCGGTTAGGGGAGGGGAAGGAACAGGGTGGGCTGAGCACAAAGCCGCTGACTCATGCCAAAGACTGATCATTTTAGTCCATAATTAATCAGGTCATTATCACCGAAGGTCCATCGTGATGTTCGCTTTAAATCCGCACCCATGGCGGCAGGGCTCAACGAGAAAAGGGAGAGAGGGGTTGAGGTTACCCTGGTCAGAATCTCATCAGCAAAACGGCCTACTTGTACCCTTTTGTTATCATGGGAATACACAGGGAAACAACAACCTTCCGACACAAAATTTGCTTATTTACATGGGCCGGCAGAACTGAATTAAACGCACTTTGAAAACAATGGTCATAGTACGCAACGGAAAAAGAAGTTTCCCAAGCATTCTAAAAATACAGCATACCATCGGTCTGTAAAAACAAAAAAACAAAAAAAAATCAACATTTTAACATTTTGAATCTTTCAACATTGTATTTTTTTCAAGGATCATTTGTCCAATGGCGTGCACGCTGATAGCGTTTGTCCGTGTCGAAGCAATCGTGTTGCGTCAAACGCCAGTCTGCGGCCAAAGCAGCTGGACAACAGTCACGTCAGCTGGATCACAGTAAAACATAGTTTTGAAAGGGAAGTTTCTTGTATTTCCTCAACCTTAATGGTTATTTTAGCCAAGTGAATTTCTAGCCTACACGAATGTAGGAAAATATGGCTGTATAACTTGATTGAACAAATGGTAATGAGAAATTCGATGACACCGGGTAACCACTGCGGCAATGATACAAACAGTAGATGGATTGAATTTAAAGAATTTCTGGATATTAAACCAACGTTATGCCCTTCGTAAGCTTGACGTCAATTCCAACTCGTCAAAACTGTAAGTAGTGCACCAATGTAAAGGGTAAAATAAATTTGTTCCTGAAAGGGCAACGTTTTTGTGCACATCTAGAAGAGATGAAATTATGTTCCTAAAACTGGACAAATACTTTTGTGAGGTTTTACACAGTCTGTCCAACATGAGGAACAAAATTGCATCTGATCAGGATACGCATGGAAACGTTGCCCTTTTTACGAAAAATAAAAAAAATTCTCCCTTCACATTAAGGGTGCATCGTCTACCCCAACAATTACGGTGAAAGATTTGCACAGTGCCATTGGTAACATGTTTTTTTAAACAGGGCCAAGCTGGGCTGGCAAAATTGGCGCAGCTGACTCGAATTTCCAGTTGACCGTCACTCTAGGACCCTCTAACCTTGCTAGTTTCCTGCCATGCGTGAATGCTGCTTCTGCTGGCGATTGGACGCTGACCGGAACTATTTGGCTTTGCTAACGATAACAGTAGTAACTGTGCTCCTTGCTGCCGTCACTGGTACAGCAACCAACAAGGTAAAAAAAGGAGAATCTGCCAAGCATTTACTGGCACCGCCCTTTGTCCTTGGTTTTTAGTTGTTTTGTGGCGCAGGACCTCACCCTCACCACCCCTGATTCGCTCAATCGATCTAAACGGCATCTTCATCACCTGATACTTCTCGGCAAGGGCCGGCGCCACTGGAGCCGACCTAGCAGCGCTGAGGACGACAGTAACAGTAATAGTACCGGTACTGCTGTCGTAATCAATTCAGGAAGGCCAACTGATGGATTAGGAGGGAGCGGAGCCAGCCCCAATGCTGGTTCAGGTTTTGGGAATGGTGGAGGGGCGCAAAGTACAGCTGGTGAAAATTATGGAGGTGGTTCGAGCTTTCCCAGCACGGCTGGGTCAACAGGAACACAGTTCGGAGGTGGAGCCTACCCTGCTGGTGGGTACAATCCTGGGTACACCGTCCCAGATGGGACGTACGGGGGAGCACCCGTTTCCACGAGCTGGGCCGCAGAAGGGGCCGTGAACCCTGCCCCGGCAGGGTACTATCCCCAACAAAATGTAGGCACTGGTGAAAACTTCGGGGGTGGCTACGGGGCAAACGGCTACGGATCAAATAGTGAAGGACAAAGCTGGAATACAGGCTACGGGGACGGAGGTGGAGGTTTTGTAGGTGGGCAGGGCAGTGAAGCAGGTGGCGAGGTTGCATATGATAATAGTGGCAGCTATTATAATGCTGGGGAGAGCCAAAGCAGTAGCGGGAGCTCCTCAGGCATGGGAACCCAAGTAGATGTAGGGTACTCAGAGAGACTGACTTCTAATCCGCAGCCACCTGTACAAGTGGGGCGTGGAAGGGCGCGTGGAAACGCAAATAGGGAAAACAAAGCTCAGTCAAACGCATCAGATGGTGACCAGGCTTGCTCGTGTTCGGAAGACCCAAACCAGAGTGCAGGCAGGCCTTTGCGTCCAGAATCGGGTCCAACAAATCCTTACGGAACGGGCCAAGGCCAAAGTGAAAATCCAGCTGATAGCAATTTTGCCCAGACTGTGGGTGTTTCGGTACGCCCCTCCATTATAGGAGGGTCAGTAACGAGTAAATTACCAAATGGTCAAAATTTTAATATTCCTAGACTACCTGCACCTGGAGGAGGTAGAGGCCCACAAGGCGGTATGTCCAATCGGCCTGTGGGGAACGCGGGCAGCTCCAATGGTTTACAAGGGAGCAACGCTGGCCCTGGCCAACTTCCAGGGAGTGGAGAAGGTAACAGAATTCCAAACAATGGGAGGCCTTCAACGTATCCGGCAAGAGCACCACGGAATTGTAGTGCATCTGGCGGACACAAGTCAGGGGACAGTTCCACAGGAGGTGTGGGCCGACCGGGGTCTGCAGAGGGCAAAAGGCCAGGCAGACAACCTCAAGGTCCAACATGGGGACAACCTCATGGGTCAAATAACAGAGGAGATATGGGCAATCCATCAGGCTCTGGCGTTTCTGAGGATTATAATCACGGTGGAGCCCCGGGGGGTGTTTCAGCTAATTTACCAAGGCCACCAGAGTTTTCTGGAGATTTTTCTTCGACGGGAAGCATGCAAAATATACCTCGACCTACATGGTCATCTAGTGGCTACCCGAGTTCTGGAGGTGCGTCAAACTTGCCAAAGCCGGAAACTTTTTCATCCGGAGGAAGTGCATCAAATTTCCCTAGACCACCAGGTACGCCCGGGGAATTTTCTAATATCGCAGGGGCAGGCGGAGATACGTTCAATTTTCCAAGGCCACCAGGATTTTCTTCCGGGGGAAGCTTAGGAGGGAATGTAGCGACTTTACCTCGACCACCGTCAATACCAGGTGGACTACCCTCTGGAGGTGCGATGGGCGGTAATATGCCTACTATACCTGGAACACCAGGCCTATCGGGTGCATTTCCTAATGGCGGTGGAATGGGTGGAAGTACTCACAACTCTCAAAAGCCACCCGGATTTTCATCTGGGGGCAGTTTGGGAGGAAATATACAGACATTTCCTCGACCACCATCATTGGCCAGTGGACTTCCGTCAGGAACTTCAATCAGTGTTAGTACATCAAATCTACCTAGACCTCCAGGACTACAAAGTGCGCTTCCTAGTGTTGGTGGAATGAATGGAAATACGCACAATTTTCCTAAACCTCCAGGATATACAACTGGGGGGAGTATGGGAGGTAGTGCACCAAATTTCCCTCGACCACCATCAATGGCCAGTGGACAGCATTTAGGAAGTCAAATAAACAGCAACATACCAAATCTTCCTAGACCTCCAGGACTACCGGGTGGGACGTATAGTGGCGTTGGGACAGGTGGAAATACGCCCAATTTCCCTAAACCACCAGGATTTTCATCTGGGGGTCATTTAGGCGCAAATGCACCAAACGTTCCTCGACCACCGTCAATGTCTAGTGGACTTCCTCCAGGAGGTGCAATGAGCGGTAGTATTCCAAATCTGCCAAGGCCTCCAGGACTATCTGGCACGAATGTGAATGGCGGTATGACGGGTGGAAATAACTTCAATTTACCAAAGCCACCGGGATATCCATCTGGAGGAAGTTTAGGAGAAAATAAACCAAATCTTTCACGGCCACCATCGTTACCTAGTGGGCTGCCTTCCAGCAGTGGTATGGGAGGAGGGATGTATAGTTTATCTAGGCCACCGAGCCTTGGAGCAGGGTTTCCCACTGAGGCGCATACAGGAGGTAGCACACAGAGTTTCCCCAGGCCACCAAGTCAACTGGGTAGGTTTCCTTCGTCAGGGAATGGAGAAATAAGTTCAAACAGCGAGGGTTTACCACTTGGACGACCAGCTTTAGGTACGGGAATGACCGCTTCAAGTGGCAATGGGTTTTCTCACTCAGTAAGACCTCCAGGACTTGGTGGAAGTCAACAAATGCTGCCTAATGGGGCTGGTGGTCCGGGTGGTAACTTTCCAGGCATGACTGGAAATAGTGGGTTGCCGCGGCCCCCAGGATTTGGGGGAGGTCTACAACAACCCAATTTGGGGGAAAATTTTCCTATACCGGGGTCAAGCACCAGTGGAGGCCTGAGTAGCACGGGAATCGGAGGTGGACGCCCGGGAATTCCAAGTGGGGGCAATACGGTAGCTGGTTTGCCGAGGCCGCCAGGGTTTGGAGGTGGCCCCCCGAATATGTCAGGAGTTGGCACAGGGCTTCCATCCTTGGGTCCATCCGGGTTGCCCAGGCCACCAAGCTCTAGTAGCGGATTGCCTCACCTGCCGGGTGCAGGTGGGTCTGGACTTGCCACTGGATTGCCAGGAATGGGGAACATTGGGTCGGGAGGTGGTCTAGGCAGTGGTATAGGGGGACACTTAGGTAGCCACCTAGGGAACGCCGGAGGGGGAATTCTCAGCCAACACCACCAGCATATGATGCAAATTATGCAACATAAAGCAGAAATCGCAAAAGCTGCAGTTGAAACGGCAGGGTCTGTTATGAGCTCAGCAGGACAGGTTGGAAGCGGTGCTGGCGCTCTCGGTGGTGGATTAGGAAGCAGTGTTCTTGGGGGTGGAGCTAGTGGAGGTAGTGGGCTAGGAAGTGGTATTGGGGGGGCCGGAGGGTTAGGCAGCGCTCTTGGGGGACTCGGAAGCGCCCATGGAGTTGGGGGTGGTGGAGGCCTCGGAAGTGTACTCGGAGGTGCAGGTCGACTGGGAACTGTCCTCGGTGGTGGGGGTGGACCTGGCAGTGCACTAGGTGGTGGAGGCGGACTGGGCACTGGAGTTCTTGGGTCTGTTGTATCTGGGAAGTGACTAATTTACAAGATTCTTAAGAATGGCCTCCTAAGTTAATGAATTGGAGAAGTCCTAGTAAAAATAGGATACAGATGTTCTGTATTTGTTGAAAATCTTATACAATGATTTTG